GGTTGGATCGGGCAAAAAATGGCCACCCTATCCAACTTAGTTCACCTGAGAGGTGCATTAAGTTGGATCGGAAACAGGTTCACCTGATCTAACGGATGTCTATACATATTTGGAGCACAGCCCGGGGGCTGGGAAAGCCTAGGCATTTGCTCCAGCTGTGCTCTTCCTACCCCATCCACCCTGACCAGGATATTTTTAGCTTCCCACCAACCACAGAGAGACAACCCCCTCCTGCAGACCTGCCAGCCCCCTACAAGCCTTTATATCACCTTTCCATGAATCAGTTCATGCATTCATTAAGTTGCTATTTTCAGGAGAAAAATCACAGACCTGGGCTACGCAGAGAAGCATATCAATTAATCTAAGGACAGTGGTGGATAAAGATTTTTTATTGGGGCCCTGGGCAAACAGAAAATTAGAGGGCCCCCACCAGGTGAGGGCAGGTCCTCTCTGCATCCACCAGGGGGCTGCAGCTGGGCCTGCCTGGCCGCCTCAGCACATCCAGGACGGGGTGAGCTATGAGGCATGAGCACCGCTGAGGTGAAAAACATACATTATAATCACATTTTGCCTCCAAATTTAAATAAAGTCCAATTCACTCATAAAGGGCCAATACATCTGTGCATCATTGAAGTTATTTGAGGCACTGTTTTGAAGTCAATGAAATTTACAATGTCTTATATAAGTCGACACATCCTATATGTATATCCAGTATGCATCTGTCTTTATACAATCATATGAGGTAGGCATGTATATTTAGGATAGCAGTTACTACTAAAATATATACATACATACACACTTCAGTAAGTCTTGGAATAGGACTACATTAGGTTTTTTCTATTTAAAGTATTTTCCATTTTAGCAGCAAAGTGAATTTAAAAACTAGCACAGGCTGTTGAAGTAAACAAAATGCCACCAATCTTCTGCAGGCTGGATCATGTTCATAGTATTTTTACTATCTTTATCACAAGGGTTTATAACATACCATTCAGAGAAAATGCATAATTGAATGAACCAGTGCAGCTATAGCAATTTAACACTGTATCTGCCCTAGAAGAATTAGAGTTGGAGCTCAGTTGGATTCAATGTAATGCAAGAAAAATCTCGATTATGCCATAAATCCAATACAACAGCTGACAGTATCCTCCCCCAAAACCTTTGGCTGAAGTGTGCTGCATGGTTGTTGGATTAAATGAGTTCAAATGCCACTTCGTTTTCATCAGCAGAAGATAAGGAAATCTAATTACAATGGCAATATGCAGTAAGGTACTTATAGAAAGATTCATCTTATACGTGTATAATGATGTATATGTTAAAAAGAAGTCTAGTGGAGAAATCAATTTGTATTTCTTCATTGCCTTTTATTGGTAGTCTGTTCCCATTCTGACTGTAATTCCAGCAGGTGTTTAACAGGCATCATTAGAATGCTTCAGCACAGAAGCGTAGGATATAATTACAGTGTCACCTTGACTAGATCTTTCAAAACTACTATAATATCCAAAGTGCATGTAGTTAAAAATAGGATGGAATTCTACACATTCAGACTTTGTTTAGAAAACTAAGAAACTCACTCATTTAACAGTCTTCAAATTTGGGTGGAGGCAAATTCAGACAATCTCAGATTTGGTGAATAGAAACTCAGAGGTGGGAACTCTTTAGTATACATAGCACCTTTTTATACTCACTAATACCATAAACATGTCATCACACCTGCCACGAACTGCGCAGGGAACCCAACTGAAGTCAATAAAGTTCTACCCAGACACAAATTACATGATCATGGCCTACATATGTAGCATGCTGGTGCTTTGCAAAGAAAATAAACATAGTAATAAGAAAAACTTGCACAATGTGAGGAATTAGGGGAAAAGAGGGAATGCATGACATTTCTTTTGCAATAACAATGGGAAAGGATTCATAGGCTTTTCTTGCTGTATATTTGTTTGCATGCTAAATGATGATTGCTTTCTTGGAAGACAAAGTTCTGAGGAGCTGTTTCCTCTCAGGTGTGTTAATGGTCAGGCAAAAGTTTCCACTGGTGGATTTTAAGATGGAAAACACATTCAATTAATTCAAAGCAATAAACTCCAGAGCAGTTTGAGCCAGAGTAAACTGCTCCCAGGTGTAGTCTCTCCATGTGCACCCAGGACAGCAGCAATTTGAGCCGAGGTGGAGTAGGTTATGCCAGGGCTGCTTTTGCCCTGCTCTGCCCCGCACTCTGGGTGGCAGCGTCGGGCAGTGGAGGGGCTGGCTGGGGCAAAAGCATGCTGAAAGTGACTAGCTGTGTGGCTAGGCAACAGGCAGGAGTCTAGCCCCCTGCTCGCTGGTGTGACCAGGCGCAATTTATGTCTGTGGTCAGCGTCTACACATGCATTTAAATCACAGTCAATTACTACACCGTAAGATAGTACTGTTGGGGACAGTACCGTTGTCCTTAACGGTACTATTTTATGGCGGTATTAATTAGTTTACTGTGGCCTAATACTGTTGCATGTGTAGATGGTGATGCTTCACTCTGCAGCTAATTAGTCTACACTGCAGTAAAGCACAGGTGTAGGCAACCAATGAGGGAAATGTCTCAGGGTAGGCATGGCAAGCACAATGACAAAATACCTAGAATTTTCATGATATCCATTTGGGCAGGTATGCTTGTAAATAAGGCACAAAGTAAACTGAATGCAAAATAATAATCAGTGAGAAAATGCTAGCAGGAAATTAAATTAATGTTAGTTCTTTGGACATTTACAGTTACAAATCACAGATCACTTTATAATTAAAACAGCTTCATAGAATGGCCTGTGTCATGTCATGTTTTATGGAAAGGAAGGCAGCTTTGAAATAAGCAATACATAGAAATGATTTGACAATAGCAGTTATTGCATAAATTGCAAGCGGTTAATTATTTACAGCTAGAGCTAGCGTAATAGGTAATCTGAAGTGCTCTTTATGTTTATATGTTTTAAGGTAGCTTCTAATGGAGGAAACCGCTTGAGAATATGAGAATAACTTTTTATTTCAGGATTCATTATGTTTTTTTCAAAAGTCTGTTAGTTTGATAAACTCAGAAATTTAAAAGGATGTTGAAATCGCACATACAAAAATGAAACTAACAGAACTTCAGTTGCTATTACTGGTTTTTAAATAGTCATCAGAATAGTTTCAATTTCAGCTTGAATATATCTATTTGAATGTATAGGAGGAGAAGCTTGTGACAAGAACTTTTAGACATTTCACTCATTCCCCACTTTAAAAGGAACTCAGTGGCAGTATGTTCCATGAACAGACTCAGAATTAACTAACAAAACAGTTTATACTTCCCAGCATATTTTTCACTGTCGCATTTAAAATACATACAGATTGCAGGACTCAACAGCCAGATAATACTTTCTATTAAATACATTTAAAGTGAGTCTATTAGCCAGACCGCAGTGGAACATAGTCATTGAAGTTCAAAGAATGTTTCAGATTGGCCCTGCTGCACAAGTCACAAAGCTCAACAGGTACTCAAATTCAGACAGCATCTCTACCTCAGACTGCAAAGTCCCCTAAGCACCTAGACTTGGGCTTCTGTACAAGCTCAGTATGGATAAGTTTAATCATCTTGGTGACTAACTCACCCTAAACTCTGTGTGGTCCAGACTGGTTCTGGGGAGGTACCTAAATCCTTGGGTGGGGCCAATCCATCAGATGTATTCAGACAGACAGCACTGAGTTCAGCTCAAAACACTGGTGAGAGCTCTAGTGCTGCCTTGGTTCTAGTGCTCTACACATCATCTCTGAATCTGCCCCACTGAGCCCATGGACACAAGAAGGGGAAGGCAAATCTAAAAGCATAAACCTAAAGCAAATTGCACTACACCAGCTGAGCACAAACAAGCAGCCTGTGCACTTGGAAACATGAGAAATAAGCAGGCAGTTCAGTAAAACAAAGGCATTTGAAAATGTAAGCAAACTGCCCCTATTTCATTTAGGAGGAAACCTGCCATGGTTAGACCATGGTTACATCACTCTGAGAGACATATCATGTCTTTGCAGCTTTTTAAATGGGGATGGCTGGACATGTTGCTGGTTAAGCTGCTTGTGTGTCTATGGCCTGGGTTGAAAGGAATTGAAAATACACTGGAAAATACACTAGAAAATATTGTGGAGGTGGGGGCCTCCAATCCACCCACCACCACTCTAGCACAGGCTGGGCAAACCGCAGCCTGAGTTCCTTCCCCTCCCTTCTTCCCCCACTGCCATCGTGCAGACAGCACTGGAGCTGGGGCGGGGGCGGGGGGGGAGGGGAAAGGCTAGGAGAGAGAAGCTGCAGACACACAGCTGGGCCAGATCCGCTCCAAAGCAGAGCTTGATCCCCCAGCCTCCTGACCCAACAGTGAACGTCAGTGGGGTCGGGAGAGCCACTCTAACTCATAGCACTTTCTGTGAAGCGCTATGAGTTAGACTGGGGAGCTCCAGCTCTGTCAGCACCCACAGTGCAGCTCGCAGTACTTTAGCTACTCTATCCCAGACAAATGTGTTATTTTTCCTTTAAGAACTGCCAGACAACTTCTGTTAGGAATGGCTAGACTTTATGAAGCTTGCGTTATGCCAATACAACATTTCTTAGATAGAGAAGCCCCCAGTTCAGGAAAACTATTCTATAACACTTCCAGCAATATTTAAATATGGCAGGTGCTGGAAGAGGTCTAATCAGAGTGTGCCCTAAGTGACACTGGGCCAGAGCCTCAGCTGGTGTAATGGCTCATAGCTCCATTCAAAGAAGTTATGCCAGCAGAGCTCTGGCCCAGTATTGTATTTTCCAGTGGCATTCTAAATGACAGTCACCTAATAATGCAATTTGGAAGGAAGAGGAAGACATTTCAATAAAGCCTATGTCTTGCCTTGTCATTTGTGATTAGTGTTTCATTGTGCTATATGTCTGAGTACAGACTGTCACTGAACTGCTAAATACTTTATGGAAAGCAAAACCCTTAAGCCTCCCAATATGGATAGCATACCTCTGACTTCCTGTTTAGCCCAGAATTCTTGCACTCTTTTTAAAATGTTCTTATCCTCTCTCAGCTGCTTTTGCCATTGACGCAATTCTTGAACTTCAGCATTACAGCGGACCTGCAGAAGGAATGATGTACACCTTTAAGAAATCAGCGGTCTCCCTATTTGCATTAATAATGTTTCACTACAACAAACTTGCAAGACTGAAATAGCCTAACGTATTTATGGTATCAAGAAGGATATGAAAGAATGGCGCTCTTAGGCACAATTCTTTCCTAGGGCTGTTCCTGGTATAATGCAAATATGTACCATATTTGTTTGGTTTCATGCAGGGCCAGATGTGGAACTATAATGTGTTCACATATCATTTAAAAGACATAATTTTTGAAAACTTTTAAAGACAGAAAAATGTCGATTATGAGATCACTGACTGCCACAGGCTCAGGAGAATACTATGGTATGGGAGACAGTCACCTGTTGCATTAGCTAATTAGATCTATAAGCATTGTACTAAAGAACATTAATGCCTCCAGAAAATGATAACACTATAAAACCAACTCATTCAGCAGTCATAACAGATCAAAAGAGAAACACAAAGTGTGATACAGCAGGAAATTAAATGCAAGCAAACCTATTCATACTTGCTAATAGCTGCAGAGGCCTGTAGACGAGTTCAATCATACCATTTTCAGTGGGGATCATTAATCTGTTACTCAGAGTAACTGAAATGCATGACATGGCATCCACTCTGTGTCAGTCATCCACACGATAGGCCTCATCCTCCCACCAAAGACAATGACTATGTTCCCAGGCCTTGTCTACATGTAGGATGTAGGGGAATTTCAGAAAATTCTCATTGTGGGTACAGCCCCATTGACTTCAGTGGGAACAGGAACAGGCCAGAAGTTTACCAGTTTTGACTCTGACAAGGAAGCAAATTCTTCTATATAGCTGCCCCTACACTTGACTTCATAGACATTAGGGCTGGAAGGGACCTTGGAAGATCATCAAGTCCAGCCCCCTGCCCGAGGGGCAGGAAGTCAGCTGGGGTCATAGGATCCCAGCAAGATAAGCATCCAAATTTCTCCTGAAGGTGTTCAATGTAGGTGCTTGAACCACCTCCGGTGGCAGGCTATTCCAGACCTTGGGGGCTCGGACAGTGAAGAAATTCTTCCTTATGTCCAGCCTGAAACAGTCTTGCAGGAGTTTATAACCGTTCAACCTTGTCATCCCTTGGGGCGCTCTGGTGAACAATCATTCCCCCAGATCCTGATGAACACCCCTGATAAACTTATAGGTGGCCATCAGATCGTACTTACAGTGGCATTACTAAAATGGAATTTCATTTTTCTCTAAATTCTAAGTACCTAAAACTGCATTGGAACATAGAATCCTGCAAAAAATAATGGCTGGTAAAAACATATGGCAATGAACCTGCTTTCTTCTCTAAAAAGTTATGTTATCAGTACTGTTTTGCTTCCTGCACACCAAAAGATTTCGTTTTTGAAGTCTCACATCAAATTAAGTTTTAGATAATGTGGCAATGAGTAAGATTCAACTATGTGATTTGAACTGTATTCTGTTACTTTTCCAAACTTCATCAACTTTCATGAGACATATGGAGAGCACAATTTCACTCCACTAGTTTAAAAATTCTTAAAGGAAACCATGAATATTATTTAGCAAAAGCATTCTTTTGGCCAAGAATATATCCCTTCTGCACTGCAACCAAGAAAACTACTGACAGTAGCTCTATTCCCGGAGTCAATTTCTATGCATTTCAAATCAGGACACTTCTTATATTTTAGATAGTTCAGTGACAAAGCAGTAAGACAATGCAAGGTTATATAATCTCTGCTGACAGAAAAGGATTTTACTTGGTGCCCTGACATCTGATATCTTGTACAGTACTTTATTATCTTTGCTCTGATAAACTTGCTCTGCAGGATTCACTGTAGGGTTTGCTAAACTTTTATATGATTGTAGCAGGTTCAGGTCTCATGGGTGGCCATGACAGCTCATGGTGGCCCCGCAATTCCTGCCCCAGCTCTAACTCTAAGGGTCCTCATTTACTTGTCTGCCACACCTTTGATGTCATTATTTGGACAGGAAGGAGGATGCCTGAGAGTCTTAGAGAGAACCAACAGTTGTTCTAGCATTGGGCTTTGGGCTTCTTGGCCTCCACCCTTTTGCTCTCACTGAGCTCTTTAGCTCCAGTCCACTCAGACTGAGTGCTGCTGGGCTCTGGGTGACTGTTGGAACTGTCCCAGTTCCAAGGCAGTGCGCAGTGCTCTGCCAAGCCGCACTGCACCTGCGCAATGTGACAGCTGCCACGTGGGTGTCGGGAGAGGGTAGGGGGGCAATCCCCACTGCCCTCCACTGCCTCATGCTGCACAGGAGGGCTCTGACATGAGCACCCAGAGGCCCCAATTGCTGTTCCTGCAACTGGTGAGTGCAGGGCTTTTTTTTAAGTGCTAGGAGACTGGGGCCAGGCAGGGGATGGGGGTGGCCAGGGCCACCACAGGGGCCTCCCCCACAGCTCCCCCTGCCCAGGAAGAGGCAGGCACAGCCAGAGAAGCCATGGGAGCACCTGCAGCTGCCTGGTTGTGCCTGCCTCTCTCTGGCCGAATTGAAACAGAGCAGTGATCTGAAACACCGAAACAAATTGCTGTCCTCCAAAACAGCCAAATCTGAAATCGAAACAAGACACAGCTGTTTTGCACAGTCCTGGTATCTAGTCCCCACTGGACACCATGGTCCTCCTCGGGTACCAGACAAGACTGAAATCAAAACTCAAGCCCTTCAGGCGATAATGAAGTCCTACCCCAGTCCCGGGTCTGTAAGTGTGGCTGGCCCTCAGCTTCTTCTTATGCTGTCTCTATCTGGCTCACAGCCACAGGCAGAACTCTTCCCTGTTCAGGTGCCACAGCCAGGCTGCCTGACCTGCCTCTGGGGCTGCCTTATATTTCTCCCAGGCCATGCCTCTTCCAGTCAGGTGACCCTCTGGGGTTGCCTCTTAATTAATTTAATCAGGCAGTCTCTAGGCAACCCAGGTGCCGCTGTACCATCTCCCCTGCAGGGCTCTGCCTGGGCTCTTCCTCTCAAAGTGACAGAGCACCAGAGCACCTCCGGCTCTGTCAGTGATTAAGATGAACCTTTTATACATGAGCATGTGCCCCAGCGCTACTCGCAGGGTATCTGTCTCAGAAAAGCCTAGACTTCATCGTTGGGCTTTTTGCATGTACAGACTGGAAGCAGGTAGGCAGAACTTATTTTCTGACAGCAGTCCTGGACATGGCAGGGAGACAGTTTAGACCGGGCCTCTGTTACCTTCTGGAAAGGTGCTGGTATGAATTTAACTGTCATTTCCAATCCTATCAATACGTTTTTCATGAACTTACCATAGTTGTCTAATAAAGCTTTGTTTATACACCAGCAAAAAGTTCTTGTTTTATAAACAGAATATAATTTGAGCCACCTAATAAACTACAAAAGAGCCAGCAGCCAAATCTCTCAGCAAGTAATCAAAGCAGCAGGATGAGTGTTCTCTCCACATGTCCATGTGTGAGTCCCCCTGCAAATCATTAGGATGTAAAACACTGCGTAACTCTAGTTTTGAAGTCAGAAGCAGTGCAGTTTTTCTCCTAAAAAAATCCAACACACTTAGACTGCATCCGCTATATACAGTGCAATTAACATTCTGTTTCTCATTTGAGTCACATGAAATGCATCTGGGAGTTTTGCTAGTAGACATATCTTGTTGAATAGGAACATAGTTTCTGACAGTACAAGAACACTTTCAGGCTGTAAACAGATATCTCATTTGAGGTGGTCCTAGTCCAAGTCTAAACCCAAGCTCAAACCTGGGATAAAAGAGGAACAGCACAGCCCTTTACACACATAGCCCTTCCAAGTTGTATTGCTGTTCCTCTGCTAATAGGTGGCCAGGAGCTCACAGACTGACGGGTTTCTCCCTGGAGTCACCCACAATAATTTGAATGAGCCAGTTAACTACAGACATACACAGAATTCTCCCAGGGAAAAAGTATTAACATATTTTATCTTCCATACTTCACAGGTACTTAAAGCAGGACAAAAGGCTTTCTTTTGGGAGAAATCCTATGTTTGTTTTCACCCTTACAGAGATAACCACTTTTGTTCAGATTTAACACTATTTGAAACAACTGGAACTAATATACATACAATAAACAACAGCTCTTTATACAAGATGACTCTATGCCCCATTTTCATGGTGACAATCCCATTTTAAATACTTGTCCTGAGGGTCCTGCTGGTTTGGTCAAATGAACATTGTTGTCCTATTTTCAGTGGGACTTCTGGGACAGGTGTTTAAAAGGAAACTATTCTGACAAAAACAGGACTGCTTTAATACTCCAAACCCTTGCTCCTCTAGAGCTCTACATTCTCCCTCATTCCCTGCTCCCATTCACCAGTATGTTCAGCTGTGACTAGAGCTTAGAGACAGCTGAGCATGCCAGACAGTGGAGAGGGAGTGTCCCATTTTGACAGTAGAGATATATGGTCATGCTATTTTTATATTTACATAATCCCATCCCTTCCAAACTAGAGATGTGATAATTCAATCCTTACTCAGTTAAAATACCATATCAAAAGTAAGACAGGCCATATCTACATTTAGTATCAATTAAATACATAGCATCAATCAGTGATGGGGTAGAAACCAACTGGGAAACAAAACAGGTTAGAACAGTAGGGAGGTAAGAAAATATTGACCAAAGGCACCTGAGAAACATCTGCTCATTAAAAGCTCCATGGGGTCTCCAATGGCCATGCAGAATAAGGATCTGTTTTTAACGTCTGATTCAAAAGATAAAGAAACTGTATAAAATTCTCATTCTACAGAGGAATTATACAGAGGAATAATGGAATGTGTTTGCTCTTCCTGTGATGCTACGGAGTCTAGATATGTCAAACCTTATGCTGGAAATGCTAACCCATCCTTAGCATTCCAGTTGCTCTTAATTATAAAATCAGAAAAAAAATCATGTAACTGATAGTTTTGTACTCTCCCATTGGGGTTTCAAGAGTGTTGCTGCCACAAATCCTGGAACTTGCCAGAAAAAGTGGTAATCAG